TGGTCCCGCTCCGCTCTGCGGAGCGAGACCATTCGTGATCTCACTACCGGCATTTCCTGCTTACATTTATTTCTTATATTCTTGTTTTCGTACGATCTATAATTTTCCTATTCTAGAGCCTTTTCGACAACTTTTAAAATACCCTTGAGGTAACACACACCCCCTTACACAGAACCGTCAGATATTAATTCTGAGCACTGATTAATACTTCCTACAACCTCCACAATACCTATTTTAGTTGTCACACTCAGATTCCAACTATTCACCGTTCTCTTCTATCAAAATACCAGGGATTCCCAAACCCTCAAACATCTAGACTTTTCCAATATCGTCCAATTTGCTTATTCCAAAGCCTCTTCGGCAACTTTTATTTTCTCCTTGGGGGTACATAAGGCAGGGGGCCCTACCTGCTTATTTACCCTTTAGGATTATTACTTTCTACTCTGTGGGAACTTCTCAGTCACTATTTTTTATATTCTTGTTACCATAAGCATAACTGGTAACTCCATCCTCCAAAAGATACCTTTTATCATCAAAGCAACTCAGAGTAACCTTCCTCATTTCATAAGTTCGAATTGTATGCTTTGTGCTCCTGATTGTATTCATGTTGTGTCTCATCCTAGCCTTCGTGTTGATTGCATTCTTGAAGTTCTCATGCGTGAGCTTGTTTCTGATAAGATACTTCTTAACCCCTTTAGCTGTCATTCCACCCCCACCGTTTTCCTTGACATAGGAGTACATCTTTGACCTCAACCCAACAAACTCAGTTATGGGTACTCCTCCAGCTTCATCCTTAAACTTACATATACCCTTGTTGTTGTGGGTTGAGTAGTAAGGGCTATCTTTTGGGTAATCTGAATTATCCCAGCAGTTTTGCTCTTCGCCGATCCTCTTGAAGTCCTCATAGACATCATTCGTCTTCAGTTCGTACATCAGACTGTCGGTATCGGAGAACAGTAACCTCGAACTATTACCATACTCCTTCTTAATGGTGTTGTAGTGGAAATCGTACATTAGAGTCTTGGATAAGTCTAAGATGCTCATTCCCACATAACACGGTTTATTCAGCGTTAGAACTTCTTTTATCCTCTTTACCACTATGAGATTCTCATTCATGATTCGGTGTGACTGGAAGCATGGTGATGCTGTCAGGTTTAGGAGGTCGTCTTTGGAGGACACTAATTTCACATCAACCCTTTTCCTAAGATTCTCCATAGTCTTTCCATAGATCGAGTTGTCCATCAACTTGAAGAAGTTCTTTTCGAACGTGTTACGGGCTACTGACCTTTTCTTCGTATTGAAGTCTATATAGTCCTTAAGCCAGGGAGACTGCTTGAATGTAACCGCTCTATGAACCTTCGTGAGTTTCATCCCAAGGTCTGTGTACAGTTTCAAATTACGTACATGTAAGACGTACTTCTTCCTGGGGCCTAGTGAGGTTACTAGTTTTCTTACTCCTCCAATTGTCAGTTGGAATTTCTCAGCAATACTCTTCGCATAATCTGACCACATAGAAGCACTGATTTCCTTACTCTCCGGTGCTAGAGGATAACCGTTGTGTAGGTCGTGAAGTTCTTGTGGATATTCCAGGTCAACCTCCAAAACCATCCCTCTTCCGTTGTCTCCCAAGTAATCGTCTATATTCATACCGTCAACTTCCTCAACCCACTCTAACTCTCCATTAGGTAGTGGTTGTGACATTGCCCAGCCATATAAATTATTAGCGTCGAGGTACATTAGTTACTTGTTCTCAAACGACTCATCGTACGTCTCCATGTACTTGTTATTAGCTGCGGAGTGTCTATGAGCAATATAACTTGTACCACCCCTCATACCCTTCTCGAACATAAAACTGGAACATATCCATATCGTTTACAAGTTCTATTTCTTCACCTGACTTTTTCAGTAAAGCGTCCCAACTCAGACTAGGTGCTGACACGTAATGTGCGGGGTCAAGTTCACAACTTTCCAGACATGTTCTCCTGAAGTTCTCAAACACATCGGCCAGCAGAAGAACGTCGGTCTCCAAGTAGAGGTCGTGTTAATCTCTCATGGTTTTCATCTTGAAGTGATCCCATACTTTCTGAGCTTTCTCGTAATCTTCCTCCTTCACCTCTGACTCATACAGTGACGAGTAGAACTGATCCTTGCTCGGAAGACCTTCTGTATTGAGTTTGCTAATATCATCTAGGAACTCATATGGGAACACTCCTTTTTGTGTCACTAGATTGAAGTCCTCACCCTTCCACCTTTTACCTACTATCCTGAAGTCTTCGGGTGAAAGGTTACTTACCAGTGCTTCCAGTGAAGAAGTCATGAACTGTATAGAGTCTATGAAGACCAGATTCTTACCCAGAGAGAATGAGATGTATTTTTCCATATTATTTGGGATCACATTAACATCCATCTTGAACTTACCAATTTCCTGCATAATCAGATGACTATCATAACCTCTCAGGTTGTGGAAAACCACAGGTACTTTCCATGTAATTCTGTATTTCAGATTACATATATTGTGAGCAGCTCCGCGGTACTTACCTGTTACATGGTCATGGTCTCTGACACGGTCCTCACATAGATCGTTACCACATATGTGGCAGTTTCTTGTAACCAGGAATTCTGCTTCCTCTTTGGGTGTAATTACCATTTTCTTCCTGAATATTTTGTCAGTCATTTCCCTACATCTGAAGGACTCTTTTACTACCGTCTTTAGGAAGACCAGCGCAGCATCCTCTCCAACGTAACTCTTATACTCACCGGAGTACTTATCATCATAGTGGCAGACTGTTTTCAAACCAAAACTACAAGCCTTGTGTGTCTGGTAAAGGTCCGTACTACTTTCATCCTCAGGGTTTTCTGACTTCTCTTTTCTCTCCTCAGGCACCAGTATGGACTCAAAATCAGCATATATCACAAACGGCACAGGCATTGAGTTTCTATGATTTTTGAACTTTATTTTTGTTCCTTCCTTGGGAAGTATTACAGCCTGAGTTCCATTTACCTCCAGACATGTTTCCTTATGCTTCTCCAGTACCTCTTCACTCACACAACTGTGAAGACAGTGTAGAGAAAAGTGTTGCTTATGTGCATGTTTACTTACACTGAAGAGCATTCTGTTTACATCCTTTATGAGCACATAATGATTGTTACCTTCACATCACCTAGAAGTAGAAGTTTCGTATGATCCTTGTATTTAGCCTTGGAGTTTCTTATAGGGTAGAACTGTTTCTTACCCTTATAACCAAACACAGATATGCTGATACTGTTTTTCCTCTCAATTCTATCAATGTCACTTATCTTCACGGGAAAGTCTATACCATCATAGTCCAGGTTCGTTATGAATTCCCTATCTTTTTGTGTGATAGTGGTTGCTCTTCTAGCCTTAGCATTCAGATGTCTCACATGGCTCCACAGGAAACACAGATTGTCATTGTTCTTCATATTGATGAGCCCACACATTGAATTGCTGATATCCTCAGGAAGTTTCATGTATGAACTACCCTTTAACGGTTTGTAAATTGCAATGTTCACATAATGACTCTCGATATTGAGTATAATCCAGTTTGAACCTAAGTTTTGAAAGGTTTCAATTCTAGACAATATTGTCAGTTGGTTTTGAGCAGCTGTACTTTCAATATCCTCGAAGTTAGTCGCAGTACCAGTCTTAGATTTGAAGTAGACTGAGTCCTTCTTGGTTTTCCCGTCGCCAATTTCCTTTGACATTCTCACCTTTAGAGTCTCTGTGTACTTCAACCCACCCATTCTCTTTAACTCACTCACAAGTATTCCTCTCACTACCTGTCTACTTGCAGTCATCTGGTCCAGAGGGTCCATATAATGAGGAGTTATCGAGTAAGTCACAGCGGCTCCATTTGCGGCTGTTTCAATTTTCCTGTGGAATGGCTTTTCAAGGTCTGTTCCAAATGGATCGATTTCTTGTTCCTCTGGTGTAACCACTATAGGCTGCTCCTTGACTTCCCTCGACACCCTTACGGGCTTACGGACCTTAGGAGGAGACACTGGTTTCCTGGTCCTAGGTTTCGGTACAGGTCTTTCCTTAAGAAGCTTAGTTCTAGGTTTCGGTACAGGTCTTTCCCTAAGAAGTACCTTTCTAGGCTTAGGTACCGGTCTCCATGGAGCTACACCCTTGGGTACCTCAGGAGCTTTCCTCGCAGGTCTCTTATTAAGATCCACGTGAACTGTGAACTTACCTGGACCTGTTTGAGTTATGACACTATCTGCAGGCACTGAGAGTTTTACCTTCCTCTGGCTCAGGAATCTTTCTGCTACGGTTTGCTTTCTAACCTTAGCATCAACCTTTACCTTTGGTGGTCTACCTCTCTTCTTTGGCACCTTCGCTTCACCTTCGTTCTTTGCCTTTGGTGGTCTACCTCTCTTTTTGGACACCTTCACTTCAGCATCAGTCTTTACCTTTGGTGGTCTGCCTCTCTTCTTTGGCACCTTCACTTCGGCATCGGTCTTTGCCTTTGGTGGTCTACCTCTAGGACGCTTTACCTTAGGATTCCTTTCGTTTTCGATTCTCTTAATTTCCTCGTTAACAAGGGGATCGTCCGTGCGCCATCTGCCTCCCATTGTGGGTGGAAGTCCCTGGACTCCCTTAGATAGTAAGCTCTGGTATGCTTCCCCTACAAGTAAAGCCTTAGCCTTTTGCCTGTCAGAGTACTTCCACGTTGGCATAATCCCTTTTCTACCCTTGTAGTTCTTAGGTATGGGTCTTGGCTTCTTTGTTTCCATATCACGATCGTATTCGCCTATGAACTGTTTTTCTCCCTGGAATGGGCTTTCACCCTTGTCATCGGGAGCAATCCTGTAGTTTCTATCCGTTAGGATGTCTTCTATATCCTCATCACTGTCTATGATACTGTTGAGAGTCAAAAGTTGTTCTACACTGAATTCGTTCATGTTAAAGTTACCCGCCATATTTTTCAACTATTCCTATATACTATATGTGTAAAAAAAATTGGGTTATTTAATTAATAATTTATCTTGAATTTATTTTCGATTTAATCTATTTTTATTTTATTTTTAATTTAATTTATTGTTTAATTCTATTGATTTATTATATCAGTATATCTTTAAGTGTTTTTATTTTTTATTTAATTTATTGTTTAATTCTATTGATTTATTATATCGGTATATCTTTAGGTGTTTTTATTTTTGATTTAATTTATTGTTTAATTTTATTGATTTATTATATTAATATTTTTTTAAGTGTTTTTACTTTTCCAGTTATTATAATATTTACATTTCTCAGGTTTCCATCCAAGCTCAACAAAAACTTTTCCATACAACCTATCCTCAAGGATGTCCACTATCCTTTGAGTTCTGATATCATCAGGAGGGTTTCTCAAAGTTATACCATTCATACTAGCTATCCTCAGCAGGTAAAACTTGTATCTGACTATGTTGCGCCCCCTTTGCAGTCTAAGTCTTTGTATACATCTTACGATGCTTCTAAACTGCTCCCTTATGATGTCCCTATCCCTAGAAGCAACATGTTCAAATAAGTGTCTCTCAAACCAACGGACTCTATTGTGACAAGACGTCTTCTTCAGATAGTCGTCCTTGTTGTAGTTGTAACTAATGTAGTATGAGAAGTTATTCATATCACTAGCACCACACTGTGTGCATGTATCTGCCCCATCTATCATTACAATAGACTGACTCCCACATTCGCTACATATTGGATCATATGTGTGTTTTCTCTTTATTCTACTCTCAGCTGCGTGCTTCCTCACAGCAGCCTCTAACTCTTCCAGTGTATTTACCTTTTTACCTACACATGCCATCTCTTCAGGTGTTGCCATATGTAACCATTCCATTTCCCTAAACTTATAGGTGTGAAAATTTTTATGGCATTTTCTATAGTATTAAATAAGCTGCCCCTCCAACCACCCCACCTGCAACTAAACCAAAGATTGCCATATATTCTTCCACTTCAGAGCTAGGTTTGTAGTGATTACTCAATTGCGGCTTCCTTGGCATAGGCTTACGTTTTAACTCATTGATTCTTCTGACTAGTTCTAGTGACTGGTTCGTTGACTTGATATTACTATTTGCCTCAGCTAGTTCTGACTTCAGCTGAGCAATCCTATTTCTCCTATCAGTGACCTCCTCAAGGTACTTTTCTCTTTCGGCTGTTAGGTTCTCCATTGCGAGGTTATGTCTCTTAGCTTCCTCAGCGTATCCGTTCCTATCAAACATTTTAAATAGGTATCCTGCTCCCGCAAATGCAAATGCATTAAAGAGTCCTCCTGCTACTGCACTCGCCATTGTATAGTTTTACCTATGTTTCGGGTGTCTTAGGTTTTAATTGGATTATCAGGGATATACTTATGTTTCTTTAGATACGACACCAGTAGGGATGAAAGACTAAGAGAGACAGCTAATTTTAACATTCCCTTTGTGTTCTCCGGTGTACCTAGTGGTTCCTTCAGCAACTTTTTAGATGCCATTGAGATTCCGATTGCTCCGGCTGTAAGTAGTAATGCATCGTACACTTCACCTCCCATCTCAGATTTATCAACTGCGTTTACCTTACTCATCTTGTTATAATATATGGTATGTTTAATGTATCATTCAAGTGAATCTAACTTGGACTCATCAGCTTTCCTAGTTACTTCTACAGTTATAGGGATGTACTCAAGTTCTGGTTCCCTAGTTTCCCTCTAATGTGTTTTATATGCTAGCACAAGGGATATCAATGCAATGGCCACTCCTATGTAGGTAATCATACTATCATTACTAGATGACTCGTTGGATTCCACCTGTTTCTTCTTCCTTTCCTTTGCTATTCTACTGATTGCTTCCAGTCGTTTTCCCGCAGCTACTCTTTTTGGGTCCTTCTTCTTTTCACTTGTTACTGGTACTTGATTTTGCTCAGGTTTATCTTCCATTCTACTTGTAAGATACCTAGGTTTAACTGGGTTTTATCTTGCAAGATATCTTTAATTCTACTTACAAGATAACTTGAATTTACTTGTAAGATAACTCAAATCTACTGGTAAGATAACTTGAATCTACTTGTAAGATAACTTACAAGATAACTTGAATCTACTTGTAAGATGTCTCAAATCTACTTGGCAGTATGATGGGATTGCTTAAAAAATGCCCGACAGTATTTGCCGAGAATTTTTTAAGTTTCACTTCTTCGCTTCCCATTTCCACTCTAGTACTTACCTACTGTGTAACCAATTCGTTGGATTACAACTTCCTTACACTTACTAGCCTTTAGAGTCTTGCACTTTATCTTAAGATTCTTTATTTCCTCCAGGAGTTTCTTTATCTTGTCGACCCTAAAGTACTCCTCTATATCCAGCACTATCTTTGTGTAATCGTTAGATATTAGTGTCCAGTATCCATTTTCGTTTAACACCTTTAACCATGACACCTGGTTGTCCCTAACTTCACCTGTGCCCTTTGGGGTCTTGAGCTCTATTGCGAATCCATGGAAACCATTACTTGGAGTTACTATCGTGAGGTCCGGTTGTCCACCCATATATCCCTTCCTCCAAGCGTCGCATCTCTTTTGTGATGTATCCTGGTACTCTCCTAGTCCCGGTAGAATTAGGGCTTTTGGGTGGTACTTTTTAAGATATTCTACAACAGCATAATGAAGGTCCATTTCATTAATTAGCTTCATCTGTTTACAATAGAGTGGCTCAGATTCTGGTAGTTTTTATGAGCCTGGTTTACGGATAGATGGTAGTAACCCACTGAATATCCACCTTCTGAATTCGTTTGCGGTGTTCAGCTCCGATCCGAATATTAGCTGATACAAACCCTGCTCTGTGATTAAAGATGTACCAGGCTGGCCGTTCAAAGGGGGGCCCTCGAGGGACCCACCTTGAACGGACCCTAGCGTGCGCTTATCCTCTTCCCAAACATGGTTTCTAACTGCTTTCTTTGTGTTCGAGTATCCTAGGGATTCTGCTACATCCTTTGCATAGAATAGCACCTCCTCACCACTCTTAACAGTTCTTACACTCACATTCAACTTCTGGTTCCTGACTAATTGCTCCATCTTCCCTATACTATATGTGTAAAATTTTTTTGGGCTATTTTATTCATCAATTTATTTTTATTTATTTTGGGAGCAGCATTCCCTCAGCCCACCCAGCTGCTTCCTACCGTTGTATACCTCCTATTCCAAAAAATTATTTTGCCTACTACATTTCATTTAGATTCTTGTATATATTTACAACTGTTTTTATCGTATCATTTTTGAACGCTTCAAAGTCATACTTTAGTGAATCCAGAGTTGCCTGAATCTTATCCAGCTGTTCCCTGTTTTTGTCAGTTTTCTTAATCAAATCATTAATTATGTCTTCGAATTCTGTTCCTTCCCAGGGCCCTCCGAGTCGTGGCATTCTGTATGTAATAGAAGATGTTTAGTTTCCTCGGACACTTCCTCAGGTTCTTCCTTCTTATTCCACTTATGGGCAACTACATGTTTAGCTGTTGTACAACCACCAGATATGAGCCCTATGAATGGGATGTTGGGGGATATCGTTCTGGTTAGAACGATATCTCTGAAGATTCCACTGCACCGAAACTTCCTAGTACCGCAGCAAACTTTGAGATAATAAGTGTTGATAAGAAGTCACTTGCACATGACATCCTCTGACTTTCGTACTCATGGTACAGTCTATCTACAACATCCTTGTTAGACTTTCTTATAAAACTTGCGGGCTTCTCTATTATACCGTCCCTCGATAGCTCTATAAGTTTGTCCCTTTTGTGTTCAGTTTGCGACTTATCTGCGGTGGACTTAGTTTTCCTTGCGGTAGACTAATTAGCTTTTTTCTGCGACACTTTTGCGACCTCCTCTACTTCTCTTACAGCCTCAACTATTTCTTCCTCGGATTCAGTTCCCATCGTCTATATTTTACGCGGTGTTTATTTTAACAGTGTATGTGTAACGGTGAATAAGTAGTACGTCCAGTGCGGTGAACTTTTCATCTTTTAGTATCTTCGTAATCTCTGTAATTGTCTCCTGAGGAACGCCACTTAGGTAATCATCTGTTATGACCTTCATATCCCTCCGACTAAGGTTGTAGAATGTAACTAGCCTGGAAATGTTTTCTCGAAAGGGCTTTGCTACTGAGGACAATTGTTGGGTAAGTACAATGACAAATAGGTTGTAATGTCTTGCAGGGAAAGCTAGGCGCACCAGTTCGGAGACTCTTTTCTTTACGTCTTGACTTGCCGCACAATCGTCCACTATAATGACAGTCTGAGTACCGCGGAATATGGTGGACACTGCCTTGAGAACAAGATCGATCATTTCTTGTGAACATGGAATTTGTATAACTCCATGGTCACTAAGGTGGCTCCAATTAATGTAAGTCATATTCCACTCTATGGTTGGACATATAATGACAATGTAATCGAAAACTCTATTGTACTTTGTTTCTAACATATTAAGTAGGAACTGAGTCTTTCCACTTCCAGTCATTCCTACTATGAGCATGTTGAATGGGGGCTTAAGTTGTTGCATCTCTATGCTTTACCATTAGTATTGAATACTTGATAGATCTCTATTGGCAAAGTTAAGGAGAGCATCTGATACAACAAAAATGTTGCATTGAACGTCAGCTGTTGTGGCTCTCTTTTTGATTTCCAGGAGTACTCCCGATTGTGTGTTAACTATCTTCTTACCTCCACCAGTGGTATCATCTTGTGTTGACCTAAGATCGATTACTAGAGCGAAACCATTGCTGAAGAACTTACTGATGGACATAAACTCGTCTGCCATTGATTTCTCGCACATGGGACAGAAGAATCTTTTTGCCTCTTCGAAGAACCTATTTTTAGGAAGTCCTTGGAAAAAGACTGCATTAGGCACACCCTCAATGGTAAGGTTCACTTTATCAATGTTTGGGTAAATATATTCTTCAGAATCAGTTCTCACTCTATTGGTAAATAGAAGGACAATTGCTGACATGCTCTTCCTGGGGATATTAATTTTCTCATTGACAATGGTAAGATCTTTGTCCCAATTACTTGTACGCATAAGGGTGACGTGTTTGTAGGACAGTGAGCAACGTGTTGAATACATCTTTGATACTTCACTTGCAAGGGTGTCATTCTCAATAGCCTCATATTCTAACTCAAGATTATCAAGTTTATAATTACCCTTAGCTTCACCTCCTTGAGCAGTCATAATCTCATCTGATTGCGGGAGTGTGAGGATGTACATAGGATTGTTATTCATGGAGAACGGTGTGTAGAGTCCATGGTCTGCAAGTATTTTATCAATTGGTTTTCTCAGCTTAAAACCGTACACACTGTGAAGAAGTCCATCTGCTACTTTACCAACATCACTTACCTTTATACCTGAGTCGTCGCCCGATATCAGCTTCCTAAGATTCTCACTTGCAAGACCCTGTTCTGTCATCTTATTTCTGTCACCTACTGTTAGCCATAGGTCTTTATATATTTCGTACAATCTCTCTCCTAAACAGTCATAAGCTGTTTCACCTGCTACTTTAATCTGAAGACGCTTAGCTATCAACTTAGAAAGGTTGTTATTGAAACGGCTCTTTGTATTAGAATTTTTGAAGTCAAATAATAGTGCAAGTGATCCTGGGACTAAACAATAGTCAGGCTTTAGTTTAGGGATGTTAATGTACAGCTCTTCACTTGGGCTAATAGTTGTTGGATTAAAAGTTACAACACTTCTAGCCCCGGGACCTTTTACGGATGTCATACGGCTTCTCCTGAAGCCAGGCTGGAGTTCTCCTTCTGTGGTATTCATACTTGTATACAATATGTAATGTTTAGCTGTTCATGTAAAGTAAAATTATTCCGATACCTACAGCAACCACCCATAAGTTTGATGATATGAATTTAATCAGTTTGCTTACTATATCAGGAAGTGGAAATGGCGACGGTGAAGGACCTCCACCTCGGTGCGTAGAGTCTGCTGACATTGAGGATAGTTTTCTAGTCTGTATGATAATAGCTGTAAGGAGAGCAGCAACTGACACTATAATACCTGCAAGCACAAATCCGAAGTTATCTTCAACCCATGATTTGAACCTTTCATACCTCGTAAGATCTTCCCTATCACCCTTCAACATGATTTCCGTACTATCACCGCTGAATATAGGTTGATCCTCTTCTGGGATACTATCCTCTGCGACATGGAATAGAAGATTCTCAAAGTTGAAAGTATCCTCTAGCCATTCAGTGTCTACCCCAGGTACAGGCTCCTCAGTCTCCTTACCTCTGTTGGGCTTCCTGGGTTCTTTACCTCTGTAAGGCTTTTCTGTCTTGGGTTTCTTAGGTTCTTCCTCAGGTTGAGGCTTTTTTGGGATTTTCTTAGGTTCTTCCTTAGGTTTAGACTTTCTTTTTCCCATTCTTCAAGCTTTTTTCTCCAGCACTCTGTTTTTTCCTTATCACCCTCGACAGTTCATGGTGTCTTTTAATCTCAGCTTCCTTACGCTCAGCTTTTCTCTGACGTTCGGCAGCTTCTTCTGCAAGCCTCTTACTTTCTAACTCAGCAGCCTTCCTACGGTCTTCTTCCTCCTTCTTCCTGGCTTCTTCTTTCCTACGTTCTTCTTCCTCTGCTTCTAAATCTTCCTCGGGCTCATTAGGATCAAAACCAAGGTTTTCCATAATACCCTTCAGCCTATCTATTTTTCCCGAGTAGTCATTCCTTCTAACTTCAGCCTTAGCTATTCCCCTGAGTACAACTAATGTTTTTACCTCTTCCTTGAGAGTACTATGGGTCGCGTTTAGATAGGCCTCGGTTTCTGAATTCTTCCAGGTCTTCATTCTTCTTAGCTGACTGACGTATTCAATTTCTCTTCTAATATCTTCTTTCTCTTCCAATTGCTCGGGTCCCGTTACCTTCCTTCGGAGAATGTCTATTTCGGGTTTCCTGTGATAGTGTTAAGTGATTTTACGCATGAAGTCACAGCATAAAACTGTTTGCGACATGTCAGACATTCAATTGATTTTTGTGTTTTTCCAATTATTTTGAGGCATGAAGAGCAATTTGTTTTTTGTTCATTTTTGAGAGTAGCGATTTCAGATGTTTTAGTTAACTATATGCGAAGTCGTGAGTTTATCTCGAACAATTTTTGCTCTTTTACCTTCTAATTTTGCTTTCTTAAGTTCCGGGATATAAGGTTTTACGGATGTTTTCAATTTCTTCGGGAAACTGCTTGGATATTCCTATTCTTGTTCCTCTCAGCTTTTTTGCATTGAGTCGCACAAATTCCCGGTCTTGATGATAATTGAATTTGACCACTATTGGTCTTGGCTTTCGATCTCCGTCTCTCTTTCTGCCAATTCTGTGTGATCGATCAATCTTTACTGTATTGCGCGCGTCGGTTATTCCTATCTCTGATTCCAATAGTTCGTGAATCATTTCAGTAGTATGTTTGCGATGTTACTCTGAGTGCATATCCACACCGGGCGAGCTTGAAAATTATGCCCGGCCACGGTGGGAATCGAACCTACGACCTTTGGAATACTAGCCCAATGCTCTTCCAACTGAGCTACGCGGTCAGGACGGTTCGAGTAAGTGATATTTCGGAACAGTATCTAGTTCCTTCAATACCAATGTGTTCTAGTAATATGTTCTAGTTCCTTCAATACCAATGTGTTCTAGTAAAAAATTCATATCACAGTCCGATTTTTGTACGGCCATCTGGCCATTTTTAATCGCATTAATAAAAAACCCTGATAATAATTATATCGGATTACAAAAAAATATTACATTTGTGCATGTGTGTTGATGTTATGTATTGCGGTGAATGATGTTTCAGATGTTACTGTGAGTGTGCATCCACACCGGACAAACTGAAAAGTTTGCCTGATCACGGTGGGAATGAAACTCGCGATCTTTGGGATACTAATTCAATGCTCTACCAACTGAGTACGAGGTCAAGTCTGTTTGAGTTGTGATATTTCGGGAATGAGCAGGTGCTGCGGACCATATTTTACTTGGGGGGAGGGTGGTTAAATTTAAAAAAAAGTTTACTGTACTATTTGACTAAGTGTGAACACAAACTGCAAACGGCATAGCGTGTAGTGGTTTCTCCTACCTTTGAAAAATTGTTCAAAATCTACTAAAATACGGATATGCAATTGTGCTTAGATTATTTGATCTCATGACTCAATGACTCATGATTAATTAATGAGCAATCGAAGCAAATTAACGACAAATTATAAGACGCAAATAGCTTGAAAAGATCACTACGATTTGGGCAATCAGCACATAAGCAGTGTTAAATTTTGGTTGACTGCATGACATAAAATATAGTATTAAGCATTTCAATTATATAAAAATGTAACCAAACTAGAAATACAATTGTATTCCGTAGTCCATACTCTCCCTTTCACACAAAGAGCACAAACACAAGATAAATGCAATGCTTGTATCAGAAGTTCTTATTCTATGTTGTATTCGAAATCGTGGGTTAGAATCAATCATTTTTTATCCAAATGACCATTTTTGAGCCGAAAGGTTATTTTACCGCACGTACATAATACAAATATATACAAAATTTGCGAATTTCACAGGGCTATATTTTCCTCATTTTACAACATTTAGCAACCAATCTTTGCAGTTTTAGTCATTTTAAGACGCTCTTTCTAGCTGTGGTGTTGGATTCTTTTTGTTCTGTTCGTTCTTCTTGATTTGACCAAAATTTCGTCTATAGCTGGAATTATCCATCAGGAATGGCCTCGTACCCAGGCGCTATGTGTTGTTCTAGGCTTGCGCGGCCTTTGTGTGGGCCGCGTGGATTAATTTGATCGATTTCGTCGTGAGGCGCCTGGCAGAATCCGTGTCGATTTCTGGAGCGGATATCGATTTCTGGAGCGGACTCGATGAGGTGGGTGTTTGGCGGTTTGAATCACAGTAGTTTGAATGACTACTTTTTATTGAAAACTGTATGATGTTGATTAATCTTTCAAAATAATAACTGTTGAATGTAAATCTGTGCGAATATCGTGCTTATTTAAACTACACATAGTCGGGTATATTTATTAAAACACTGTCTATATTTAAATAGTATATTTAATATCAAACAGTTCTAGTGTAAGTTCGTTTTGGAGTAATCTACGTAGCCTTCATTGTTTCAGTCGCTTTATGGATTGAATATGTCACAGAAATTTCATTACAATATGATGAAACGCATAAGAATACAGCTCAAGAGGCTCAAAGAACGCGGGGGCATAGGCGGCGGCAAACAGTTCATATTTGTAAACAGTCACAACGATATTCGTGTCGTCCTGCAGAGTGTAGTATAGTCGTTTACGTTTATAAAACTGGATTTAAAACATGATGAGAATGATTAAAATAACGAGAAATATATCCGGGGTCAAAATAACCAGTGATTTGCAAACAAAACATGAATTGGCACTAATAAAAAGCGCGACAACACCTAGCTAGCTGGCCTTAGCCAAGGTCAAAAGGAAAATATAAACAAAACATTTATATGGCTATATTCGTTATTGGAACCATATCACATATGGCTCTAAATTATACTTGACAAATATTGACAAATAAATCAAATTTTGTATTTCAACCACAAATTTTGAGGTGAATACGATAAATACAATGGCAATGCGTGATATTGAACAAACACAGCAAAATCATGATACTGTAGTGAGTGCATAGTTAATATTATAAAAAGAGTATGAACAAGGCAAACTATTAAAAGTTTAAGTTAAATTCTTCATGTATTGGGACTAAGCCCCCACCCCACACTTTTACTTCTGAGGGGGGGGGGGCCCCGGGCCCCTGTTGCGCCGACGCTGGAACTGAGTCTAGTTCCTTCGATATCAGTGTATTTTAATTAAGATATGATATACTGAGTGTGTGTGTTGGTGTTATGTACTGAGGTAAATATGATGTTTGTGCATCCACACCGGGAAGAACAAGGAAGAAGATTTTGGGGGAACGGAAATAGAAAAGGTGGTTTCGATTTGGTAACTCTGAGGGCTTACGTGGGCGGTTGTGACGTGTGTAAAGTACATGATATTGTAAGTTACTTTGTTAAAAGCGATATTAACAACTACTTCGCATCTATATCGCTGTGTTGATTCTCATCGTTGCAGTAGGCAGGCGATCGCCAATCGGAGTGGCGATCGTTTTCAACTGGAACTAAGGTGATCACCTAGTGACTTCTGCTTCTCGGGAATTGATAAAATATCACTTAATATTTAGGCTACTCTAACATAGGTAGTCAGCATTTTAATAGAGTCAGCATTTTATTCCCAGTGCAACATGTGTAATTTATAACCAGTCTGTCTTTCATAACCCGTCCGACCTCGGTTCAACTATATTGGTTATAAGAACAGTTTAGTTCGAGAAACATGAAATTGTTTGTCACAGGGTAACTTAAGCTGTAAACGCTTGCAGGGTAATCGATTTTTAATGTTGCCTAGATAGAAAGCATATGTAGAAAAATATTATTTCGACCAGCAATTTTGTAATCACGGATCATAATTATTTGGCTATATATTTTGTCGCTGAATAAGAGGTGTGTCGGATCTTAAAATTCGAAGAAAAGTGAATCTGCATTGCATGTAAACACAATATTATGCAAATAACTTTCAATTACCTTGACTTTCATCCTCCCAGTATAATCAGTTTCGTGTCATAGCATTAAGTGGGTCAGTAAAACACACCCACACATGAGTGTATATAAATAGCATACATACACAGAACATGGCAAGGCGTGTTTCCAGTCTGCCGTAAAAAAATCTCTAACAGGGAAGACGCGCTTGCTGTACATACGTTGCTCGTAAAATTTTGCAAACTGGAAACAAATTAGCTATATACAAAAGACAAAGAGCTATTCAACATACAAGTGATACAGGTAAGTGTGGAAATAGGTGTGTGTCTACAAAAGTACATGTTATTCCCCCAACATGCGCGTTGTAGCTATATTAGCTTATTTTTAAACATTGGAAACAAAATTTTGTCTAAAATGCACATTACTTTGGGAATAACTTTACAAAACACGACGGTCATATGATTCTTAATCAATTTTTGATGACTGTCGTGCTTTCTAAAGTTATTCCCATGCAAATTCACCGAAAACACGAACAGCGGAAATCAATTGTGAAATTTGATTATATAAGTCAGACAAACAAAAGGTGTCAAAACTTTCGAAAACTTGACAAAGTTTACTTTGACGTGGAGTGAATGAATCGTATTAACAACGAATTAATTAAAATGTAAATTAGTGTTGTGTAGCTATATACTTATTTTAGTCTTTAAATTTATCAGTATATATAATACCAATAAAATTAATGTTGGCTGCATGAGGTTCTATTTAGATAGGTTAGTTAATTTGATACGCGACCACATCAGCAATAGAAACCTGTGGCCCTCAAATTTACATTAGTGTACATATGCAAAATCTTTAATAAAGTTAATAGAACTGGTTAACGCTAACCCTTAAGGCCGAGACACACCGGACGCGATTCAACAACGCGGCAAGATTTTACAGATTTTGAAAGTTAATAAAACAGCCAATGAAAATAAATTTTGGGAGATATTTAAACCCAAAAACTCAAAATGTTATAGTGTTTCTAAATATTTGGAAAAATTAAACCTGGATCAAAGTTATCCGTCAGTGAAAATCGACCTTTTGTTATCAACGAATGAACTGTTTCTGAACAAAGTTTTTCAGTTTCTTGTAGACTTATTCTCAAGATTGACCGAATTTGTTAAAAAATTAAATAATTAGCTACGCTTATACGCCAAATCTTAACGGCCCGAATTCTTCCCGCTTAGAACAAAATTGTAGTTTGCTCCCTCCCCCCAAGTTATAATCGCTAATTTAATTAAAGGCCGTTTAGAAATGACATAGCGCTCTTGTACGGAGGACAATACAAATATCATCGTGTCCATCAACCATGCAGTTTAATTAATTAAAGATTTGACATTTCCTAAGCTAGAAATCACAAACGAATTCATTTCCATTTACTACCTCTTTACGTTCAGACTTTGGACTGTGACCTCCATCAAAACAACTCATCGTTGACATACACCTCGTTAATAAACTGTTTGCAATTATTAAGTTTGTCCGAGTAGAACGTATTCTATTTCAAAGGCGACCTGTATAATTATTGCGGACGCATACACTCAAATTTGAACTGAAACTTTCCAAATTGAGCTGCAAAAAGGGCGCAGTGTAAGCACGGAAAAGGTTATACAGGTATAATTACAGGGTGTATGAAAAGGTACAAATATGGCAATGTTAGTATGCATTAGTTTTAAGACGTGAAGGTACTTGCAGTGATATAATCCTTCCAAAATTTCTCCTTTTAGCTAGGGACTCGTATTTTAACCGGATTATTTTTTTCTTTAGAACAGTGTCTTATCCTACTTCGTCTTTCCATTCCCTCAAACACAATTCGCTTCTTTGTCTATCTTTGTCCCATTAAATTTAATGTAAACAAAATGCCTACTTGAAAGAAAATATGCTTCAAATATCGTTGCAACAACGAAGTTGTTGCTCTTAATTTAGAGGGCTATAAACTAATACACTTTCCATGTTAATATTTGACAATGTTTTTGTTTGGCTAGCATGTTTATGTGTTTGTGTTTTTTTAGGTAGAATTCACAATTATTGACCCTAGCCGGAGGTAAATAGTGCAAGGATATTCACTGAAATTTAACACAAAACAAATTGAGCACTCATGCTCGTTCGTAGGGTCTTTAGGAAAGAATTGAACCTACGGCCATGCGATTCCGTTGCAGCGCTCTAACCAACTGAGCTACAGAGGCCAGCTGCATGTTGAGTGGTTACCGTAAGTTCATGTATATATAGGTGATCGGGTGTGCGGGTTGTGATAAGGTGGACTGCAATGATCTGGTTTCTTTTTTTTTCTTTTTTTTTTCTTGCACTTCACTTGGTGGTATTAATATTTGAATGCTGTTCTTAGAGTTTGTAATCCAAGTGAGTATATATATACATTTTAAGACCTGTCCAGGAACGACTGCAAAAAATGAATCACAAGGTCATCTGGTAAGAATTGAACCTACGGCCCAGCGATTCCGGTGCAGCGCTCTAACCAACTGAGCTACAGAGGCCAGCTGTTGAGCTGTAACCGTAAGTTCATGTATACATACGTAAGTTCATGTATTCTATATACACGTGAACTTACGGTTACAGTTCAACAGCTGGCCTCTGTAGCTCAATTGGTTAAAGCGCTGCACCGGAATCGCAAGGCCGTAGGTTCAATTGCTACCAGAGGACCTTGTGCTGCATTTTTCGCAGTCGTTCCTGGTCAGGTCTTAAAATGTATATATATATATATATATATATATATATATATATATATATATATATATATATATATATATATATATATATATATATATACTCACTTGGATTACAAACTCTAAGAACAGCATTCAAATATTAATACCACCAAGTGAAGTGCAAGAAACCAGATCATTGGAGTCCACCTTATCTTTAGGAAAGACCCTGGTATCGGCTGGTCACGTGCCTCGTTCAAAATTTAGCGCCCGAGGGGATGTAGGGCAAGTATTAAATTGCATGCTTCCCGTAGAATATTAGCGACCTTAAGATTCTACGACGCGGCAGTCTACAACGCCACCGGAAGTAAATTTGTAGCAACTGAGCATGCGCGTGCGTTCTTGCTCAGCAAATCTAATCTACGACGACGCCGTTTTGCAGTTTTCATGTCGTCGTAGATTTTCTACCAAAATAAGAACAAAAATGGAAAAAAATACTATATCTGCGAAAGAATTGAAAGAAAAGGAAGGGTCCAAGTCTGGGTAAGTGTTGCTTGTTTTCTTAGTTTTTTTGCAAAATACATAAAATGTTGAAATGTTTGCCCAAAGACAGTAAAGTATATTACTGAAAACTTGCTTTTACTCAATTTAATGTATATCTTCGTATTTTTGCCGAAACGTTCACTTCATATTTATTATGTTTATTACATTTACAGAGTCTGTTTTATAATGAAATGGACTAATGAGCATGATGTCGAATTTTGCAAAGAGGTTATTGCTTCCAAGCTTTTTGAAACCAAGAAAAGGTCGGCAGAAAGAGCTCAGGTATGGGAAGCTATTGCAAAAAAATTGGAAAGAGTGGAATATCCTAAATTCAAGGTGGAGCAATGTTCTGTCAGAGACAGATTGAAAAAACTAATCAAACAGGTTCGGAAAAAGGAAAACGATAAAAGACGAGCCAGTGGAATTTCACCTGAATTAACAGAATTGGACACACTGTTGGAGGAGATAAGTGAAAAAGAGGAAGCATCAGAAACCCTGGCTGCAGATATGGGAGAAAGGGAAAAGAGGCGTTTGGAAGAAGATCACATGGCACGACAAGAGATGCGAAAAAGAGCCATGGAAACTTTATCCGAGACCGAGAAAAGAAATACAAAAATAGATCAAGATAGTCCAAAACGCAAAGTCAAAACGAAAGGGTGGTAATACCGCCTTGGCATTCTTGGCAGAAAAGGCAGAAAAAGAAACAAAACTGAAGGAAGAGAGCAACAGTTTAGAGAGGGAGCGCCAGGAAATGGAAAAGGAAAAAACAGACAAATTTATGCAACAACAGAATGACATGTTGACTGCTATTTTAGAAATCCAAAGACAGCAAAATAATCAGGTACAAGCAAGCCAGATGGTTTTAATGCAGCAACAGCAGCAACGAGGGCAAGCATTATTATTATTATTATTATTATTATTATTATTGATCTTTAAACACGGTAACCTTTCACATAGGTGATTTTCAAAGGGCCGTGCGGAAAATAAATGCATTATAAAAGAAGGAACTAATAAACTAAATTATACTTATTTACAAAATATACTTATTTACTTATTTACTTATTTACAAGATGTAATTATTTAATAGATGATGGACAGATTTTAAACTTGTTGACTCTCTTAGGGTTTTCAACAAGTTTACTGGGATGTTGTTCCAAAATTAGATCTGCTATTGAACTATTAAAGGCCTGTTGTTGGGGTTCGCATGTTAAATTATTCAATGAATTTTGCAAAAAAAATATAATGGAAAATATTAAATATTTACATTACAGAATATTGTAAAAAATGTTATTATAAATTATATTGAAATGTCATTTACTTATAAATTATTAAATTGAAATGTTACTTAAAAAATGATCATTATATTGAAATGTTATTTACACAATTATTATACATAATTATTATATTATTGAAAAGTTAAATATTATATACAGTATATTAGTATAGGTAGTATTGTGGTTTCAAGTACAATTTGGGAAAACATGCATGAGTATTTGTATTTAATTATCTAATTTATACACGGTAACCAGGTATCAATTGATAATGATTTTCATAGGGCCGTGTCTCAAAGACGATCAAAATGGACACGTGCAATTTGAAGTCTTTGAAAAACTCACAAGACTGTATGTTTTTCCAAATTGCACAAGAAACCATACTATTACTAATAAATAATACACATGAAAAATTATGCAGTCACATGCATGCATAGCGTACATGCAAAATAGTTAATTTTAACTCATTGAGTGGCAGCACTCTCCCCATGACAAGTAAAATTGCCTGGCACAAGGCAGTAAAATAATACAGATCTATAGGGCACATCTTCATGGGGCTGGCACATTGCCACTTAAAGGGTTAATATAAATAATTTTAATAGAAAATCTACTAAAAATGCCAGCCATTGTCAATGAAATTTGCATTGTATTTCATTTTTTGGCACTGTATTTTGAAACAATTGCACAGCTCTTAGCCAATCAGAATTGAGTATAAATATTTATCATGTATATTATGAGTGTCAAAATCTCAAACCTGATAATATATAAGCCATCCTTAAAGCCTGTTTTCCATTTCAACCGTATCGTAACGTGCCATATATAGCATTTTCTTTTGAGATGTTGTTGGTAAGCATACAAGTTAGAGCATTTCTCAAAATTGCTGCAACAACATAAATCTTTGCAATGCAGCTTTAAGCTTTTATCTAAAAATTTAAAATAGCCAAAGTCATTGCTTAGGAAACAAAGAAATAGACTATGTTTTGGTACGATACAACTGAGGTGGAAAACTGGCTTAATTAATAGAAGTAACTCCTCAACAGTTGGTGGTTCAAATTCAAAAACCTTTGAAATGTTATTAGGTTGCATGCAAGTAAGGGTATGTATTTGCTAAAATTGCAGCAACAATATATACATTTTGCCAACACTACTTAGCTATATATAGTTACCTCGACATATAAAAATAGATAAAGCCACCCATTTCCCTTACATTTCAGGCAAGAGACGTTACATGCAAAGTCCCTACAAAGCCAATAATTCACCCCAGCACTGCCAGGGTCCAACCTTGTTGGGAAAGTCAATGACATTCACATAATAGTGGGTCATATATTGATAAAATCATGCAAAATACTCATCAATGGCAGGGGGGACAACTTCAAAGAACTTTGAGGTGTTGTTGGTATGCATACAAGTTAGAGCATTTCTCAAAATTGCTGCAACAACATACATCTTTCCAATGCTGCTTAGGCCAATTTTCAATTTTTTTTTTAAATCCAAAAATTTAAAATAGTTTATAATGTCTCCAAACAACCATTCAACTGCAACACGAACAATGCTCATTGACTTGTTGAAGGCTTCCATCTGCATGTGGTGTTATGTATGGGCGGTTTCTATACGGTGCCTGAAGGTGTATGCGAAGAGGGTATTCCGGGTCACCGTAAACACACATAGGCTGGCCATCACCAAATGCATGCTCTTCTAGAGCAGTCAACAAGCCTGAATCAACAAGCATGGCAGAATCATGTCTTCTTCCCTCTAAAAATATTATGCAAAAGAAGAATTAATTAAACAAACCTTTTACAGTCCTATTGTGTTATCCTTTTTGCAAAAGGTGTATGAATATCATGGTCCATGGATTTAACGTTTTACGTACAATATATAATAAATACAATATTACAGTAAAACACTATCAAAGTTGATGATATTAAAAAACCACACTTTTTGTTGCTACGCTACAGGATTTTAGCCTCTGGGGGAATAACGTGGGTGTGTGATGTAAACAATAAAAATTAAATAAACATGTGAACATACCTACAGGTCCAAATAAGTTTCCAATTAAGCCATTAGGTAGCGCTAATGCCTGAAATTTCAATGCAAGGGCACGCTTATGACCATTGTAAACCAACCGCTGCATTTGCCCAGGGCGACATATTGCCCTCACTGTCCCGTCAATAAAACCAAAACAATTCGCCAATGCACCCCCTTTACGAGCCACTGCTTCGGCATATCTTCGAAGGCATCGAGGACTCAGCAGCTGGTCGTTCCACTGTGTTAGCCTGTGAGCATGTTGGTCATAAATAAAATCCAAACCTGGTTTGTAATCATACTTAGCTCTGGGACGGGTCTACCAAACGTCGAAACCAAGTCACTATACCTACACGGGTAGCGAAATCGCTGCAACAGCATGCACAGAGCCTCCATTCCGTCGCAAATAGTTCCTTGTGGGCATGTGAATCGTCCAGGCACACCCATCGCACCAGCAAGAACAGGAACTTCATGTTTTTTAAAACGAAATTGAACCTCGCATTCAGCTTCGTCGATGTTGTCCAATTCAAAACTCTCGTAGTTTTGGTACGGTAATTCGGGGTTTTTTGAATGACACATGTCGTAAAGAAGTACGAACTCATCTTCATCAATAAAAGAAGAGTCATAAGCCAAAATAGCGGCTTCCCTAGCTTGCCTAAATGAACACATCTTGATGAACAGTTGTCTATAAAATACACACGTCCGCGTAGTTGAAAGCGCGAGATCTTAATCTACTTTTTACAATACGCAGACGTTGTTCTCCTCAGGCTGCAACGCGGAAATTTAGCGCGTTGTAGACTGCCGCGTCGTAGAATCTTAAGATCGCTATTTGTATTTTGCACGAACGCAGCTCAAAGCTGATTAGCCTGCGAACAGGCGTTTATTCTGGTGGGATTGTAACACCTGAATAAACGCCTGTTTGCAGGCTAAAAGCTGATCGAGTTTAAGGCTAAGGGTCAGATAAGGGTCAAAGCTAACACACCTTATCAACATTCCCTGTGGAAGGAAACCGGCGTACCGGAATAAACCCACGTCGGGCGTCCGATATGCCGGTCCGCAGAGAGAATCGAACCCACGATCTCAGAAGTGAAAGGCGCTTGCTGTGAGGATTGTGTCACAAAGCTTACGCGGGAATGTTTTTGGAAACTTTTTTTTGCATGTGAAGCACAAAACGCTGAATTGTTTTGGCTGAAAATATTTTCTGCATCGTCCCTGCAAAGACTTTTTCGAAAGATGTGGTGCCTTTTATAATTCCAGAATCTAAGGACTGTTTTATACGTCGCATTTTGGTCGCGTCGAATGCAATTCAAACAGTAGATAATTATCTATCCGGAATGCAAGCAGAGGGAACGAATTTCTCGTTGGTTTTTGCAAAAACAGAATTGAGAATAATTATTTAATACCTACCCTGTCTTTTTGGATACCTCCAGCATCACTACAGCTAATCACGTAGATAAAAGCAAAAGCCTTCGGAAGGTATCTCATCAAAATTTGATCCATTTCCTCAGATTCACCAACACCTGGACTGTCGATAATCACAATACCAACCTAGAAAAATGCCATGTGACAAAAGAATATAAGATTCCATTGTTTCATATTCCCGAAAGTGCACGAGAGTAACTCGACAACTGGCCTCTGTAGCTCAGTTTGTTAGAGAACTGCACCGAAATCGCAGGGCCGCAGGTTCAATTCCTGGGACCTAAAGTTGCATTTTTCGCTTCTGTTCCAGGTTAGGTCTAATAAATGTATATAAATTTCTACTGGACAACTTCCATCTACAATACCCATCAAATATTATTCATTCGAGCGAGATGCCACAAAAATCTTGATATTTATCCATGTTTTCCGGTTTTAGCATGGCCGCAGGCACACATGAAGTTTGTTTCCTAATATTTCATGCACGTATATATGGTTCTGTTTGATCTTGATCTCATTCACAAGGCATTATTCATAACCTATTGTGGACGAAACATGTGGAAATTTTAACCACACGTGCACGAAAACTATGTCATTGGGACAAGAGCGCCATAAACAGTAGAGTCTATACTGGCATTGGCCTATTTTGGATTAGGAACTCCCATGAAACTTTAAGAACTGCTATAGAACAGTGAAGACCTCGATGAGGCCGTTTTTTCTGCTATCGTGAGTCTGTCATTTACCTTTTACTCGGCAGAACTAGTTCTCAAGAGCGCAATAGAACTAGTTCTCAAGAGCGCAATATGCATAATGACGTCACAAGGCTTGATGCTCGCGAGGAATGCTGGTCTTAGTAGTAATCGCCCGGGAAAATTTTGATAGTGGCCATTATTTCGATAGGGGCCGTTTAATTTTTCCGGACTACTAAAACCAGCTTTCCTCGCGGGCATCAAGCCTTGTGACGTCATCATGCATAAGGTCTATTGCACGCTGAATTGCGTTTTAAAGGTCATCACATAGATGAACCACCTGCTCTGGGATTTTCCTGTTGGGACTGGGATTTGGTTTAAAAAATGACTGGGAAATGGGAGATCTATAGGATCCAACCTCTTCAGGACCTCTTATTCAAACATAATGGGCACAACACCTCCATGCAACATCATTGACCATAACGACCGTTATTTTCCTTTAGCAATAATCACCTTTAACAATTCATGTGGCCAGAATATCTCCACTTTCTCATAGCTAGATCCTTCTTGCCTCTTCTCCTTCAAATGGACATAAGGAGCAATTTGGTCTCGGTAGCTCTTGCCACAATCATTGGGTTTGCTCAATGTTATAGTTTTCGGGTGCAATGGTGATCTGGAGTTGTCGCCATCGTTTTTGTAATGCGCAACAAGTTTTGGGTGTTGGCCGTACTTTATCTCACATATTGTTGATGTTGTGCTGAGGATGGAGTAAGGTAAAAGGTCTACGCCAAGTAACAGGTTTATCAGACAGCTTTTTCCAGAACTGGTTTCCCCTAAAAACACGATGTTACAAGCTAAATTAAAGTTGCAGATTAATAGTGTGGAGTAAAGTTCCGGTCAAACGAGATGGCAGGCGAGAGTATATGCATAACAATTTTCTCTAGCTCAACTCTAACTCAAGCTCATGACCTGGTCAGACGAGAACAAAAGTTACACGAGAGTTGATAAGAGTTGACTGTTAACGCGCGCATACTGTAGTGCCGAAAATCGAGGGACAAATCACTTATAAAAAGTGTACGAGATAAAAAATGTGATCTTTTGTGTGATTTGTTTTTATTTTTTTCATTTTCACGGATTTTTACAACATTTACAACACATCGGAGATAAAGTTTTACCTTGGACTTTTACAGGATTTGGTTAAAATAAAGTCAATTATCTGTCACAAAAGTCGAACCGTCCTGACCGCGTAGCTCAGTTGGAAGAGCATTGGGCTAGTATTCCAAAGGTCGTAGGTTCGAGTCCCACCGTGGCCGGGCATATTTTTCAAGCTCGCCCGGTGTGGATATACACTCAGAGTAACACCACAAATATCATATTCACCTGAGTACACTACACCAACACAGAACAAATTCAAAGTATAAATGGTTGAGTGTTTTCATTCAAGAACTCGTATTCTATTTGTTATATATAGTTGATAGACATTTAACCTACCAGCAACGAGGATGCAGTAATCTCTTTGTTGCAGTCGTTCAATACGTTCTTCAAACGTTTTCAAAAGGTCAGGAAAATCTCCATTTATTACAGAAGAAACGTTTTCCTCCAGGCCATGTAAACAAACTACAGTTTGGGAAAGAAACTGTTCCAATGTTGTTCTTTTCATGGCATCTTCTTCCTTCGCTTCCGAAATTAATGATAGACCCTGTGAAAAAGATTAAAATTTCAGTATCAGTTGAAAATATTATTTTTTTTAATAAAGCAAACACGCTCCTCCGCTGGACATTTTCTTGCATATTACTAGGATCTCGGGTCAACTTACTAAGAAATATTTGTATTTAATGAACGTGCATACTCCATCCTTGCAGAATACAACTTTTTGACACTTTACATACAACAGGTATATTCCAATTCGGATATGGAAACTTGTGCATGCAAATTTCCAATGCTAGCAGAAAGTCGTGCTATCAAATGCATGCCTGAGGCAATTGCGTACTCAAGAATGATACATTGGATTTTGTCCATGCATGGTATGCAGAAAATGCAGACAGCAGGGATTTTGAAGGGAGCCTACCTTCTCGAGTGACTCTCCCTTTCCAAACTTTCTCCCCACCCCCATACGCTTCGAAACGCCACCCGCCTCAATAGCAATGCGGGAAACAATGCATGGTGTTTCCAAATCCATTCCTCTCGAATGCGAGCTTAAATACGATCTACGACGTCGCTGTAGGCTAAATATCCAGAGAAACTAGCTAGAACAGACGATTCGCAATGGCAATAGTTCTGGACTGAAATTTTACTCGATATTTTCTAATAGTTTGTTTAATTAATACCATAAATTATACCTGACAGGTAAGTGGTAATATAAGTACCGTTCGACGCTCTTTTTGAGCGCGCTTAAGGGTGCTGACTGCTGAGGGTGCGCTAATTAATACTCATACAAATGAGGGTGAGTGAAGTAATTAATGTTCAGTAATATGAGAGTGATTGAGGGTGCATTCATTAAATGAGAGTGTCAGAGTGAGTGAGGATGCGTTCATTAAATATTCTGTAAATGAGAGTGAGCGCTAATTTGTATACAAGTGAGGGTGCGCACGTGACGCATGATGTCATAATGATATGCAAGGCGAGTCTGGGCAAGACAGTCATTAAGCTAGGGTCAGCATTTTTATCACAATTTCATTCGCTTTTTAATTAGTGTCCCAAGAAAAACAATAACATGGTTGTCAACGCCGTTAACAGACGTAACATGGTTGTCAACGCGGTAACAGAGTTGTCAACGCGGTAACAGAGCGCTGCATCTGGATACAATTTTTTATTTTGCCATGGCCAAGCGAAATACGAGGGAACATATTTTTGTTATGGTTAGTATACGTTGTGAATTTTGCGATTTATATTAAAACACATTTAGTTCTTCAAAACGTTATACAAGATTTAGTACGGTCTATTTCTAAGAGCGTATCGTTTAGGTGTCTTTTGTAGAGCCGAGGACTGTAGATCCTTAGGTCGTTGGTTCGGACCCAGCTCGCAAGATTTAAAATGCAGGCGTTCTTTTTGGCGGGTGGGAAAATTTCTATGTAGATCGGAGCCTAGCTTGGAGATGAGTCTAAATAGCTCGGAGCCTTGCTCCACAGGCTCGGGGCCACTCTAGATACCTAGGATCTGAGCTCAACTAGGCTTCAAGCCACTCTAAATAGCTCGGCGGCGAGCTGGATACGCTCGGAGTCACTCTAAGTAGCTTGGACCCACGCTCCATAGGCCTGGAATCACTCTAAATAGCTCGTAGCCGAGCTCAATCGGCTCGAAGTTACTCTAAATAGCTCGGAGCCGAGCGGGATAGGCTCGGAGCCACTCCAAGTAGCTCGGAGCAAAACTCTATGGGCTCGGAGCCCTTCTAAATAGCTCGGAGCCGAGCTCAATAGGCCCGGAGTCACTCCAAATAGCTAGGAGCCGAGCTGGATAAGCTCGGAGCCACTCTAAATAGCTCGGAACCGAGCTCAATAGGATCGTAGCCACTCTAAATAGCTCGGAGCCGAGCTCAATAGGCTTGGAGTCACTCTAAATAGCTCGGCGCCGAACTGGATAGACTCGATGCTACTCTAAGTAGCTTGAAACCAAGCTCCATTATAGGCTTGGAGCCACTCTAAATAGCTCGGAGCCGAGTTCGAAAGGATCGTACCACACTAAATAGCTCGGAGTCGAAACCTATTCAATCTAGGATTCAATAATTCAATTTTAGGAATCAATGATTCAATCTTAGGATTCAATTATTTAATCTTAGGATTCAATGCATGATGATTCAATCATAGGATTCAATGATTCAATCTAGCATTCAATGATCCGGAGGGCTACTACTAGAACGTATTTTTATTTTACCTCTGTATTTTCACTAATAGCTTCCAACTCAGTGTTTTCAGAAGAATCCAATTTGGCGAATACTCTACATAAAAAGACAAAGTCAAAGAGAACTGAAGGTAATAGAATATAAAAAACACTTCGCTAATCATGTGGCAAGTGGTATCTAAAGTCCTGCTGTTTAGTGTTTGTGTATGCGCGTATATGATAATAATAAACAAATTTGTAGAGGTTATTTCTAAGCATGATAAGATAACATCGCAAACATATATCTTCACCTGAGTGCATAACACCAGAAACATTCAAATGCGATTTCCTTCTAATATCATTTTTATTCGTTTCAAGCAAACCACCACCATGCAAGTCAACAAAGTTACAAAAGGCAAGAAATGTTTCTGCAGATACATGTCATGTGTATTTAGGAGAATGCAAATAATTTTACAAAAGAACAATAAAAAGGATCGTTGGGGGAATGATATTCATATTTCTTTGATTTCAGTTCCAAATTACGGAAAAATCGTGACCGCAAATTTATCCGTTTCTATTCTGCGAGTTTCTCCAAAGAATTTATATGATGGGTATACTGTTTTTATCCTGCCCTTTGGTATTAGTTTCTGCACTACGGTGCGGGACTCCCCACAGCGATAGACAAACGATAGATTGAGCTGCTGTCTGAAACTTGCCAATCAGGCGTCTGTTTCTTGCGTCACGCGCGAAGAATTGATTCGTATGTTTTTTTTTACAAATGCGGTGAAAAATATTTTCGTTTCTTTTTATAGTGCTTATATCAAAGAAAGACGCCAGTACTTTCAACTTCATTCCAACTTAACCAGTTAACAATAGACAAATTGGGTTAACGTTGTTTACATCGCGTTGCTACGCAATTCAGAATTTTGAATAACTCACATGCCTAGTTATTATTGTTCTAATTTACAGAATTATAGAATAGAACAAAGGTAACTAAGCAATGGTATTATGTATAAGAGTTATTCACTTTTGTAGATAATTCGAAAGCGTAGTTATCTTAAGCATAGTTATGTCTCGGTAAAGTAGAACAATGATTTAACTATAGGCATGTGAGTTATCTAAACGGTTGTGAATTGGGTATAAACAAACGCCAGTTATCCAAATTCCCTGCAGTTTTTTTCACTGTGTAGAGGTTCTTACAGGCCGGTATTTAATACGTAGGATAAGCTCTGTTTCTCAGTGACTTTTGAGGTCAGCTATATAGAGGGCCCTGAAGGGGTAAAATGGGAACTGGGATTGATCTATTTTTAGACTGGGAAAATGGGATTTGGGTTGCTGGGACTGGGATTTGGCCACTGGGAATGGGAAATGAAGTCTTCAAAAATGGGAATGGGATTGAGGTAATGCGAGTCGATTCCCAATTTTTCTACGTTTTAAGTATTTTAAAATACAATTTTGATCCGTTTTTGGTGTCTTTGGTCATGATTTTTGTTGTTAACTATATTATTTACAGCACTACCTGCGAACAGGCATACTCTGGCCCCCGGAATTCTGGGTTTTCTGATTATGCGTGTCTCAGAATGCTGCAAATGCCATTTCCGGGATTCAAATTTAAAAATATTCCGTGCCTTCGGCACGAGCCCCCTCAATATTTCATAAAGTGTCCGCCACTTGCACACACGGTGGCTTAAAAGGTCTTAAAACTGTTTATTCTACCGATAAATAAAGGGTTTTTTATTGACTGGGATTTCAATAACTCGGACTGGGATTTCTAAGAAAAATCCAACTGGGACTGGGATTTTGCCAAAATTTCAGGTGGGAAATGGAATTGGGACCCCCCTTCAGAACCCTCTATATAAGTGTTTTCCTATACTCACTTGAATGACATGATATGATCTACTATACCACAGGGGGCACCACTATGAGTTATGATTGAAATAATATTGTATTTATTTTTTAAAACCTACTTGAATCCCTTGATAATCGATTATTTCTTCTCTCGAAATTCTGTAAACATTTTAAACTGCTTGGAGTCATTATACTATCACTCTACATGACGTTTCACGAAGTATAGATGATCGCTGACAAGTAAGAACCGCGGGCGCGAAAAGACGAAGGCGGCGAAAAAAGGGAGAATTAAACTAAAGGGTTGAAACTTCGGCGGGTCATCGTTTGATGTGTTCCATAAGTAGGTTGTTCTCCGGCAATTTCGCACGGGGCCCCAATGTCACGTTAGGATTGAAATAATATTGTATTTATTTTTAAAAACGTACTTGAATCCCTTGATCATCCATTATTTCTTCTCTCGAAGTTCTGTAAACCTTTTAAACGGCTCGGACTCATTATACTCAGGGGCGTAACTCCTGGGGGGGGGGGGGGGGGACCCCCCCCCAATTTTTTCCA